TTTATATATATAATTAATATTTTTTAAACTCGTTACATATTAAATATCGCTTTCACATTAACGATCAACTTTGAAGAAACAAAGAATATTGTGTTAAAAAGATAGTTTTGAAAAGATACGTTTCAACGAAATGTGTGTGCTGTAATTTGAAGAATCACAAGAATTTCTCAAATATTGAAATACTTTTGTGAAACAGATATATTCTACGTATAATCTAAAGTTTCGTTATTGTGGAACTTTACCAGGATAATGGGAGAGTTGCCAGTTATTGATTTCTTTATTTACCAGCATTTCTCTATTTGTGTTTTATTTTAAAATTAGAGCAAGATATTTTGGTTTAAAAAGATGAGACATTTGAATGTAGGACAATATCTTTTTATCTTGAAAGTGAATATTGAAATTATTCGTGTTAATTTCGGAATAATTATTTGTGTTAATTTAATTTCGGAATATGTTAATAATTTAATTAGAGGAGTTCAACTTTGAGTACTCTTGAATATAATTGTACAAGGGCTATATATGTACATATATGAGGATATCAAATGCATGCATTTGTGATAGAAAATGAAAACATGTGTATGCATTAAAAAATTTCATTATTAAAAAAAATTGTAAATTTTAATATCATAAAAACTTGACTATTTAGTCCGTTTTATTTTTTATTATTGAAAGCGCTAATTTAAATACATCAAATATATGGGCATTGATATATTTAAATCTTTATGGACGTGTGATCGAATATTCAAGCTTTCTGAATCGAAAATTATGAGATTAATTATAATTTTAAATGTTTACAAGAAATTTGTCGAAAGAAGAATTTAAGAAAATACCTGAGATGTCAATCCTAAACTCATAAAATAACTTATGAACGGAGCCGTGGTTATGCAATTATATGTACCAGGTTGTTCTTTTACGTGTAAAATATGATAATTTATATCTGTATACAATTTAAACTATGTTTTACGTGTTATGTATGTGAACGATCGTATCGAATCCTTTGTTCTTTATCATTACAATGGACTAAATTTTCTGTTTCGCTTATACATTTTTATTTATCAATATTAAAATCTCATATATTAACAATTATAAAACTTAATAATTTCTTACTGAATTGTATTATCCAGTTTATAATAATTTTATATTATTAGTATTGTCTGCATAAAAAATATTTATGTAAACTTAACGTAAATAATACGTAAATATTTTATATAAACTGTAACGATATAATCCTGATATATATGTAGTATATGTACCATGTGCAGAATGTAAAATGTGCAGATATGATTATATCATATGCATTGTACCTTCAGATGTAACTTAAATTTTACAGAAATCTTCTTTATCGACAGTATGGTAATACCGAAGAATTCTTTTATCGAATTGCGATATTCTCGTGTATCATGAGAGAAACTTGTTAGTCAAAACTATAGATGTCGCTACAGGTTGCGTTCTTTGCGAGAAAGAGATATGTAGCGCGCGAATCGTCACAAGTGATTTGTAAGAATAGTATCTTTTTATTCTTTTACTATTAAGTATCCATTGTTCTATCGATTTAGACGAGCTGCTCGGTTTTGTTTTCTCTCAAACAAAAAAGGAATAAGGTATGCAGAATGCAGACAGAAGTATATGTAAATATGTAGAATTACATCAATTTCGAGAATAGAATATTTAATACTTTCACTACTACTACTACACACACACACACACACACACAAGTGATATGTGTGTCGACCTAAGCGCGCAAATTTTGGATACCAACATTAATCGATCAACTTCAAATACTTGTTACTTGAAAACATTTGACTATCACAACCTTGGCGGATTTTGGTATCTAGCAAACGAGAATGGATTGAAATGAATTGAAATAGATTCAGATTTTCAGAAATATTGATTCACGAATGTTAAAATGAATACTTTTCAATCATGAATGCATTTTATTCATTTACAGGAATGGAGCATATCTCTATACTTTTCAAAAATAATATTAGCTTTTTCTGTGCACAACACACATTGTGAATACTGTTCAATTTAAAATTTTAATAGGAAATGCAGTTTTTTAATCCAATTGCATCCAATTGAATCCAATTGAATCCAATTAAATCAAAAAAAAGTATTCGCTATTTAAAGTACGCATTCGGATAGAAAAAAATTTCAATCCATTTTAATCCATTTCTCGTTTGCTGGGTATTTCAGTTTTCATTTTAAAGTAATCTTAGGAATTTGCAATTAACAATGTTATCAGTAGGTCTGGGACATTTTGTATGAAAGCTTTCATGTATATGCATTCATTGCAGTATTATAAGTATACATTAACAGGCTTGTATCTATATTCTGTCTTATATTATATGTTATTTCTAAATAAAAGAAACGAATTTTTACGAAGAAGAATTTTTGATTGAGAAAAATGATTAAACGAGGAATTTAATCCGCGATAATAAAATTAATTAATCGGTTTTATTTTTATCTTCAATGATTGTATACTGTGAATACACGCTCAATAATTTTTTCTCAATGATTCATTTGTCTCAAATAAATGTATATAGAATGTACACTGGTAAATAGAATGTTATAATTATAATTATAATTTTCAGCACCGGCGAGTTGGCTACAAGTTGGTATATACTTCTTTCCGGCTCTGTATTCATCGATGGATCCATGTTCCTCCCTCGTTCAAGGTAAGATTATATAAATTTGTATATCACGGAATAATATTTTTATTTTTGTCTCATGAAGCAAAACAATCTTTTCCTTTGTATGGAACAATTTCATCTTTTATTCCCATTTTTTTTTCTACTGTCATATTCAGAACGTGAAAAACGTGAGAAAGCACGATGAACTTTCTCTTGACGTATGCTCGTTTAATTGACTTTTTATTTATTTATATCTAGTCTCACAGTTATACGCGAAAGCCAAAATAGGGAGGAAAGGTCATATATATTTCTAGACATTCAACTGACATTTCCGTTAAACGAAGACACTCATAATCTAATATAGGTCGTATAATCATAAGGAAACGTTTGTTATGGAAGATTTGTTTTCTAAGAAATCGCACGCTGTGAATATTTATTTATATAATGGTGCACGAAATAATAACTTTATTGGGGCCAGATCTGCATTTTTCTAACAGTTAATATAAATTCGTCTTAATAAATTCGTATCTTTTGTTTTTTTTTTTTCATTTTTAATATTGTATCGAATGGGATGGAATTTTATATGCGAGGAATCCAGAAATCAATCGTAATACGTACATATATTGTGGATACCGAGTATGTCTTGATATCAATTATACTAACATTATCTTTTTAAATAAAATCTTTGAAAAAGAAATCGGATTATCTAATTTGTCTTTATTAAAAAATAACTAATGTTTGTTTTGTTTTTGAAAAATTGCTTCAATTGTTTTGAATCAAAAGTTTTTTGCTTTTTGTAAAACTGCGAAATTTACAAAAAATAATCTCAAAATGAGGAAGCTATAAAATCATAATGTATATTTTGAAAAAATTTTATATCGTTTAGTTGTGATGCTTTAACGAAGAAATAAAAATTGAAATTACTATTCACGTACATTATAGGTGTATAAGAAAACTAGAAGTCCGCTTTTCACTTTGTACATAATAAAACATCTTATTATTTCACTGTTCTCCCACGCTAAATTTAACAAACAGAGTTACAATGAATGTATAAAGTTTATATTGTCGAATTTAGAGATGTTCATCATAATGCAAGGTAATGTGGATTAATGATCGTATAATTCATGCAACGTTATTTCGAGACAGTAGCGTACGTCGCATGTAGATGCAGAGCGCTCGTTAATTGGCCTCTCCATCAGTGTTACGCTCATAATTTTCTCTTTTACAATTAATATCCTCTTAGCCGCTGAAATATTCATTAATCGTACAATTCTGAGATACGTACAATAAGACAATTTTTAAATATTTTCGTTTTTCGATGCCGTTCATTATTCGAGAAGGTAAAAATTCTTCATTTATTTATAAGTAAAAGTTCACGAATAACTTTTCTTTCTTTTACATAAACA